ATTCTCTCTCTCTTTTTTTTTTTTTACTGTAAATTCAACCAGTTATTTAATCAAGTAGTAAATTTTTATGCAAAGGCTTGTTTAACATCTAGACGTCTAAAGATAGTACCAGTAAAGAATATTATTGAGGCCATCTTATTCATGAACACAGAAACCATGATTTGAATTAAAATATTATCCATTCTAACCCAGAAATATGTAAAAAGAGTATTTCATGACCTAGTTGGGTTATTCCAAGAACACAGCCTTCTTTAATATAAGAATAATCTATTTAAATTACCACATGACCGGGTTATAGGGGGAAGGGTCATATGATTATGGCAGCCAATGGGAGGAAAAAAACTTAAAAACTTAAAAATGTGTACAGAGGGAAGAAGTAATGGAACTGGACAACTTAGAAGTGGACTCCTGTGGCAGAAACTGATAATATGTAATGCAGTAAACGGTATATGCATGTGAAGCCAGTGTAGACCAGTGCCACCTCTCACTTTCAGGACACTATTGACAACTAGTTTTGTTGTTATTTTCATCAGAAAAATTACTGTGATCACAATTACTCTTTGGGATTGTTACAAGTTACAAAATCCCAACTAATTATTTGTGACTATTACCTATTTCATATTTATCAAGGGGTAATGGAACTAGTCTTTAATTTTGTACCAATTCAGGGAAATACTAGTTTGAAACTCTTAAAAATCCATTTTAATGTACTCAGTCTGAAAAAAACAATTCCAATTCCAGCAAGGACTATGAGAATTTAGCCATTATGGAAAATAGCCCTGAAAAGGTACAAATCTGAGCAGGGTTTTATTTCTTTACAGTTTATTGGCCACTTGGCCTTCAAAGGCCAATACTTAATCTGAAAATCTAGGTAATTAAAAACTTAGAAATGAGTAACTTGCTGCTCGTCTCCACCAAGGTGAAGTAGATGTGTTTCCTAAATGGGAATTCATGCTCCAAGTGAGTGGCCAGCTCAATTCTCTGCTTATTACAAGTCTGGAACGACTTACCTGGTTATAAGATATCCTAATAACTTTTCTCTACTCTCTTCCTTAAGAGTTAATAATACACAAACAACCGAAGAAAAGATAGGTAAATTGAACTTCATCAAAATTCAAAATTTTGTACTTCAAAGGATACTCGAGAGCTTAGAGATAACTCTCAGAATAGGAGAAAATATTTGTAAACTATATATCTGATAAGGATCAAGTATGTAGGATGAATTATAGTATCTTGTAACTCAATAATAAAAGACAAAACCCAAATTAAAAATGGCAAAGGACTTGAATAGACATTTTTCCAAGGAAGACACCCAAATGGCCAAAAGCACATGACAAGATGCTTAAACATTGTTAATCATCAGGGAGTCATTGCCACAGTGTGATACCACTTTACACCCCCTAGGTTAGCTGTCATCAAAAAGAGACAGATGTTGGTGAGGATCTGAGGAAATTAGAACCCTTGTACATGGCTGGTATGAATGTAAAATGGTGCTGCTGCCACTTTGGAGTAGTATTAATTGTTCAAAAAATAAAACCGTATGAGCCCAGCAATTCCACTCAGAGGTGTTACAACCAGGAGAACTGAAAACATAAGTCTGCCCCAAAAACCTGTACACAAATAGTCCCAGCAGCATTATTTGTAATAGCCAAAAGGTGGAAACAACTGCTGAAAACAGAAGTTGGTATATCCATACGGTGGAATATTATTCATCCATGAGAAGAAACGAAGCATGGATGCATGTACAACATGAACATCAAATCATGCTGAGTGACAAAAAAAAAAAAAACCAGATACAAAGGCCACATATTTTATGAATCCAGTTACATGAAGTGTCCAGAATAGTTAAATTCATAGAGACAGAAAATAGATTAGTGGTTACCAGGGGCTGAGAGGAGGGGTTACTAAGGGTACAGGATTTCTTTTTGGGATGATGAAAATTTTCTGGAATTAGTGGTGATAATTACACAACTTTGTGAATGTACTAAAAACCTCTGTGTTTTACACTTTAAAAAAGGTGAATGTTATGATGTGTGATTGATACCTCAAGAAGAAGAAAGGAAAGAAGGAAGGGAATTAGGAAATAGTACCACTACTGTTGATAGTAATGGTAGAAGGGGTGGTGGCAGTAGAAGGAAGTGTGTGGTAATCATACTAATAGTTGCTGCTTATGTACACACGTTATCTAATCACAGTAGCCTTATGAGTTAGGCTTAAAGAGGTCAAGTGATTTCCCCAAGTTCATATAACTTCTCAGTTCTCAGACTTGTTTGCACACTGTGAACTTTAAGATGTACTGATGCCTGAATTGCACTCCCAGACATTCTGAATGAATTGTATGGGGTGAGGCCTGGGCATAGAGATTTTTTTTTTTTTTTTAGAGGGTATCTCTCATATTTATTGATCAAATGGTTGTTAACAACAATAAAATTCTGTATAGGGGACTCAATGCACAATCATTAATCCACCCCAAGCCTAATTCTCAACAGTCCTCAGTCTTTTGAAGCATAATGAACAAGTTCTTACATGGTGAACAAGTTCTTACATAGTGAATAAGTTCTTACATGGTGAACAGTGCAAGGGCGGTCATATCACAGAAACTTTCGGTTTTGATCACGCATCATGAACTATAAACAATCAAGTCAGATATGATTATTCGTTTGATTTTTATACTTGATTTATATGTGAATCCCACATTTCTCCCTTATTATTATTATTTTTTTTAAATAAAATGCTGAAGTGGTAGGTAGATGCAAGATAAAGGTAGAAAACATAATTTAGTGCTGTAAGAGGGCAAGTGTAGACAATCAGGTCTGTGCCTGTAGACTAAGTATTAATCCAAGCTAGACAAGGGCAACAAAACATCCACGGATGCAGAAGATTTCTCTCAAAGCAGGGGGTGTGAGGTTCTAAGCCTCACCTCTGTTGATCCCCAATTTCTCACCTGATGGTCCCCCTGTGACCGTGCCTGGGCATAGAGATATTTTAAATCTCAAGGTAATTATCCCCAGGTAATTAAAATATGCAGTAAAGTTTGAGAACCCGTAATGTTAGCTGTTAACTATCAAAGCCCTGATTCAAACTTAGATCTTTATAATTTTGAAGTCTTATGCATTTACCTATTATAACATGTAGCCTTATGAATTATTATATTGAATTGGGATTTCTACTTTACTGCTGTTTCTCTAAAGAATCAGGTGATAGTTTCCAGTCTTAATACTGCCAGTCAGCAATGTGACCTTAGGTTTAGTTCTGTCTGGGCTTTATTTTTAATCTGGAAAATGAGGTTGATCACCATCCATGGCTCCTGGCTCTGGCTGCACGTTTGAATCACCTGGGAAGCTTTTCCAACTTGTGCGTCTGGGCCTCATTCAGACCATTTATCTCAGAAGGGAGAGGTGGCTACATTTTAAGTGCCTCAGAAATTCAAAATTTACAGCCCTGGTTGAGAATCACTGACATAAATGATAGTCATTTAAGTTGTAACTTACAAGAGTCTTTGTTTAATCTATGGGAGTAAACTAAAAGGTGCATTAGCCCTCTGACTTTTTCTCCCATTCCTAAATCATGTAGCATCCCCAGGTCACTCCCTCTGACTTACAAAGCCACAAGGAAGGAGACAGAGCCGTGCCAGCCTAGTTACCTCATGGCAGTGGTGAAGAGGGAGGGCGCTGCTCTCCATTCTTCTGGGCGCCTGTCTAGTAGGGGCTGGGGTTGTGCCAGGATCGCTAGTGCTTGTATTAGATGGCCTGCCTTGAGAGCTGAAAAAAATGATGCAGCCTTGTATAAGAAGCTAATTATGTAGGCATAATTGAGACCCTAGGTGTATCTGGGCCATTTGAGTTTTTCTTCTGTTGACCTTAAGTCTCTCTCTGGACTGCAGTTCAAGATCTGGTTTCAAGTGTGCATTCATTGATTGAAAAAATGTATTTTTTGAGTATGTACTGTGTGCCAGGCATTGGTCTTGTATGCTCAGGATACATCTATGAAGAAAATGAATGAAAATTTCTGTCCTTGTAGAGTTTTTATTCCGGTGGGAGGCAGTAGTCAGTGGACAATACATGTAATCAGTAGGTTGCACAGTGTGCTAGAAGATAAGTGATATCGAAAAAAATAAATAAAGCAGGGTGGGGGCAGTGAGATTGCTGGGTAGATAGCAGTATTAAATAGGGTGGGTCTTGAGAGCTTGACATTTGAGGAGGGCAGTGAGGAATTTCACCCCGTGGCTCTCCGGGAGAAGAGCAGAGCAGGCGCAGGGAACACTGCTGCAGAGGCCCTGGGGGTTCAAGTGCACCGATGTGTTTGAAGGGTATCAAGAAGGCACTGTGGCTGAGGAGTGGCGAGGACAGAGAGGATGGAGACCAGGTTGTTTAGGGCTTTGTAGGCCACTGGAGTGGCTCTCACATCTACTCGCCGTCAACTGGCAAGCTCTTGCAGGGTGTTGAGTAGAAGAGTGATGTGATCTGACTTCAGGTCTAAAAGGATCAGTCTGCCTACTGTGTGGAGAAAAACGGCAGGTGAGGAGAATGATGGTTCAGATCAGAGTTGCAGCAGTAGAAGGGGTAAGAAAAGGTCAAATTCTGGGCACAGTTGAGGTAGAGACAGCATGATTTCCTGACAGTTTGGATGTGCAGTATGAGATGATCAGAGCAGTCAAGGAGGACCCCGGGATTCGGGCTGAGCATTTTGAAGGACAGGTTGTCATCAGCTGTAGTGAGGAAGCTGTAGATCAAGTGATCTTTGAAGGGCAGTAATACTGATTACTATCAGTGATTCAGTTTTGGACATGTTAACTCTGAGATGGACTTAGACGACCAGGCTTTGAGTGGAGATGTCAAGTAGTCAGTTGGATAGATAGTCAGTTGGGAAGAGAAAGATGTATGCATGGCATTTAAAACCTTGAGCCTGGATGATATCAACAAGGGAGTAAGCGTAGTAAATAAAGAGGACCAAGGACTCAGCCCAGAGACATTCCAGCTTCAAGAAGACAGGGACAAGAGAAGGAACCCACAGAGGAGAATGAGAAAGAAGGATCACTAAGGTAGGAAACCAAGAGTGTAGGGTCCCAGAAGCAGAAGTGGGATCAGCTATACCAAATGCCACCGGTAGGTCAAGAAAGATGAGAACTGAGCAGTGACCTTTGGATTTAGTAATGTGGGGGTCATTGGGGATCTTGAAGAGAGAACCTTTAAGAAAGACTGAGAGGACAGTAATTGGAAATGGCTACTATAAACCACTCTTGAAAAAATTTTTACAGGAAGAGGGAGCAGAGAAGTAGGTGGGCCCTAGTGAGAAGAGTGTGGTTGAGTATTGTATTGTTTTTCTAGGTTGAGAACAAGAGCGGCATGTTCATAGGTTGAAGGAAAAGATCTAGTAGAGAGCAAAAACTGATGAAGTAGGGGAGAGAAGGAAGAAGTGCTGCAGTGAAGTCCTGGAGTGGGTGAGGGGGGATGGGCTCTAGGGCACAAGTGGAGCGATTGGCTTTGGGTGGGAGGAGAGTAGATACGTGGAAAGAGGCAGGCAGGAAGGACGCGGGTGCACATGCTCCTGGGTGCGGAGATGTGGTGTGCAAAACTGGAGGTTTCTTCTGATTTCCATCTTTTCAATCAATAGAAAGTCTGACTGTCAGCTGAGAGGGTAGAAGGAGGGAGGTAACGTTAGGATTTGAAGAGAGAGAAGAAAATGTGAAAGCTAGAAAAGTGAGAGAGTAGGTGAACCAAGGAATGTATATAAAGTATGACTGCCATATAGCATGAAAGGATGGAGTTGAAATTGGTATGATAAATTTAAAGTGAAGCCAGGCCGTGTGTGTGCGCCCACTTGCACATGCATGTGTTTTCTCCTGCTGTCTCAAACGATATGGGTGCAAGCATGAGTAGTTAGTTGTGCTTTTACCAAGCAAGGGTCTCACAGCAGGAAATGTGGGCAAGGTATTAGATGGGGTACATATGAGAATAATTATAATGATTGATCATGGAGTTTGAGCTGAATAAGAAAGGGGAAGAGAAAATCCATGGAGAGAGGGTCAGTGAAAAGGTGGTAGTTTTGAAGTTCCAGTGGAGTTAAAGGATTGGGTTGAGGTACCGTGGGGAGGGAAGGAGTCGGAAAGATAGGTGGTGGGCAGAGAGTGGATGCATGAAATTGAGATTATGGAGAGCTTGTAGTTAATGGTAATAATAGGATTTTAGGATATGACTATGGGACTCCATGGCTGAAGTAGGGTAGAGGACAACATCAGTAAAGCAGAAATTGAATGAACCGAGAATCAGATTATTGGAAGAATTATCTATATGTATATCGAACTTGATAAGAATCCAGATAGTAGTAGTATTGGAGAAGATGACAGTGACCCAGTAATTAAAATAGTGAAGAAATGAGGGGTCTCTTGGATGGTGATATTAGATACTTGACTTCAAATAAAGATAGTCTGTGTGATACTATCAGTAGGCTTCTATGTTCAGTGGAGATTTTAGGAGTAATATAATGGAGTGATTCTCAACTGAGACCCACTGAGGGTAGGGGAGTGCATATCAAATGCTACACACAGCCTCTGCAAACATTTGTCCAGCTCCTGTTACCAATCACTTTAACTAGTAAGTTGATACTGCCAGTTGGTTGATAGGATGATGTCTCTCTCAACTACACTGGAATAAAAAGTTAGGAAATTTTGAGCTAGTCTGTTTTGTCCAACGCAGGAATGGCTTCTATAGCATACTTACTAGATGATCATCTACCCTTTTTGGTTGAATGCTTCAAGCAACAGGTACCCCAGTACCTTGTGAAGCAACCCTAGAAGTATTATAAATCAAAAAATTGTCCTGTTAATTCTCAGCAGATGGGATACCTTTTGTACTGGTAGTTTCAGGAAAAGATAATTTATTTTCATTTGTGTCATAGAGCTGAAAACAGTGGTGAAAATTCTCAGTGATGTATTTTCTTACTTCTTCCTCTTAACTGGCTTTCATTTTCATCATGTTGTCCTAGTCTTCCTAAGAGGTGAAGAAAGTTCAGTGGAATTGGAAAATATTTAGCTCGGGGCTACCGAAGTGATCAAGGGCATGAGAAGTATGGAGATTGTCTAATGTAAAAAGTTTGGAAAAACCAAACATGAGAAGGGATTTATTTGGAATCTGTAGTATAGGGTGTATATGCAGGATAAACATGGACTTGATTTCCCAAATCTCAGACTGCTGTAACTTAGGGACATTCCCTAAGGCTTAAAATGGTTACCGATTATAAATAAAATGAAGGCATTATTGAACATAGTAGGAAGTAGTTTATGGAGTACATTACACTAAGAGATAATCTAGGCAGAAACTAGAAATGGTTCAAAAAACGGTTACACCAGATTATCATGAGTGATAGTTGTACCTAATTCAAATAGGCAGGTACTTGGCTTAAACTTTTAAGACTATTATCTTGGAGTACAATCATGTTTTTCTTCCCAATATTTTTCTCTACAATATTTTCTCTACCAAATCTTGTGCTTGTTGGGTTGACTCAGATTACATGTTTTTGAATTTTATAGAATTTAATAAGGGGCATTAGTCTGTTTGGCATGATGGTGTATGTGAATTAGCCAGGTGAAGGCATTTGGAATGTAGAATCTTCACGCATGTATATGGTATGATGTCTTCCTTTCACAGATGGGGAAAATGAACCCTCAGGGAGGAGAGGTGACTTGGCCACATTGACATAGTCACTCTCTAAGGTGGGACCTGAGGGGAAGACCTGTGACCAGGAGTGTTGGGTGTTTTTCCATTTTGTGTGTTGATTTACATTATTGGCTGGTGTCAGAAATGAACACAGAGCCCAGGCTACATGGGAAACTATTAGCATAGCCAGATGAGTTCATTCCCTACAGAATCCCTGAGCCTAGGGGTTTGGCATGAGTAAGATTTCGGTGAGACAAAGTAATGATCATATCTGAGATACTGGACTTTTTTGCTTATTATGCTTTAAATCCTTTTTAAAAGGCTGTCTGAAGTGGTGTTGATACAGACTATCCCATTGTTCTGCAGTCAATTCAAAATACAGATAAAGCTCCTGGATAGTTAATATAATAAATACACATTACCTGTGAATGAAAGATAGTTTATTTTGAATTATTTTACTTAGAGTTACAACAGACTATATCTTCAGTTTAAGACCCTTATTTGTACATAATAGGTGCTCAGTTAATGTGTTTTTATTACTTAATTTCAGGTTGTAAAAGCAAACAGGTTAAATTACAGTACTACCGTTGTAGGCAAATTATTATTCTAGAAGGAGATTAAAAATCTTCCTGATATAGACACATACTTCTGGGTTAATTTATAATAACCTAGTTTTATATTCTTGGCTCTAGCAATATTTTGTTTCATAAGCAAAATCATGCATTCTTAATGGGGCATTATTGCCCCCGAAGGGGTGAAAATTGATTCTTGGGGGGAAGACACAAAAAATTACTCTCTATGTATAAAACACAGATGTACATATAATATGTAAACATATATATATATATATAGTATACCTGTGATATTCAGTGGGGAGGGCGTGTCATGATTAGGAAAAAAATGTCTAAAATGCCCCTGAGGGAGCTCGTCTTTGTTCTTAGTTCCTGGCTCAGAGATCCTAATGGAATATATATTTGGATTTTTGCTGGCTTCTGAAACAGCTCCAGATGAAAGCAATAAGGTGAAAGAAGCATGTATTGTTATTCAGTAACAAGCCCCTTTCAACCACACCTGAGTTCATGTTGATAAAGTGACTTTTGGAAAGCCCCTAAGGATGGGGGGCTGGTTGTCAGGGAAACCAACCATGTGATTGGTCAGAACATTCAGCCCTAGCCCCTAATGGAAGAAGGGCTGGGGGCCGATTTAATCAGTGGCCAACCATTTCATCAGCCATGCCCGTGTAATAGACCCTCCATGAAAACGCTTCTCAGTGGAGTTTGGAGAGGTTCCAGGTCCGTGAGCACAGCGGAGTGTTGGGAGGGTGGTGCATGCGGATGCTCTTCCATCTGACTGTTGGAGTTATATTCTTTTATAATAAATTGGTAATGTAGTAAGGAAACTTTTTCTGAGTTCGGTGAGCCATTCTAACAAATTATCAAACTTGAGAAGGGGGTCATGGGAACCCCCAATTTGTAGTCAGCTGGTCAGAAGTACAGGAGAACCGGAGACGTGCAGTTGGTGTCTCGGTGTCTTAAGTGGTGGTGGGGGTGGGCAGCCTTGCGAGACTGAGCCCTGAGCATGGGGTCTCCGCTAACTATGGGCAGTTTGCATCAAAGTGGAGTTAAGTGGTAGGACACCCAGGTGCTAGGCTCTGTGAACTGGAGAAGTGGTTGGTGTGGGAAATACCCACACATCTGGTATCAAAGGTGTTGGTTATCAATAGAGAAGGAAACTGAAGTTTTCCTTTAAGGGCCATGATGAAAATGGTTGAGAAACACTGAGCTGAAGGATCTGGTTGTCTGTACTAACCTCTGCCTCAGAGGAAATCCCCAGGTATATTGTATTCATTGTAAAGGTCAGACGTCTAGGGAAGTTAGTTTCCACTATATACATTAAAGAGGAGCCGTCAGATGGCCCCGCATGAAGTGGCTGGTCTGCCCTTACAACGGGTGCTGCAGACATCTCCGTCACGTCAGTCAGCTCACTGTGTAACTTCTGCTACGCTGTCTTTGCCTTCCCTGAAAGGCTGGTGTGTCTCATGGAAAGGGATGTGGGTAAAATCTCAGCTGCCTATCTGAGTTACCCTCCACCCCTGTCAGAGGCAGACATAGGGCTGTGGAGACCTACCATTTGGGTCTGTCTTTCATAATTTGGTAATCCCCTTATTATCATCATGAAAGGAGAAACCGTGGGTCAGTTCTCTGTGGCAAATGTGACACATTTTAAAGGTTGGTACCCCCTTTGGTCTCCGGTAAGACTACCTTCTCTTTCCATTTCTCGGCTACATCAGAAAGCCTACAGTGCAAAGTACTTTACTATCCGGAGATGATTTAGGCGTCAGACTCAGAACTGCGTCTTGAACTTAGGAGGCATCTGGTAAAAAAGACTTAGTTTTAAGGGCAAGGAGAAGAAAACAGACACCTGAGGCGTTTTGTTTTGTTTTCCAGGTGGAGTTGTCACTTATTGTTTCGTGTGGGAAGAATAGCATTATACACAGTGTGCTTGTTTAAATTGTCAGTTTAATGTTGCCTGGGGTGCTCACCCCAGCCTTTGTCACTGAGTAGGGACGAGCCCTGTGGGGAGTTCGGTCTGTACTCGTGGCTCCTGGGTATGCAGTGGGTCTTTTACGACCACCACCAGAGTGCGGGGCCAGAGGGGAAAG